ACGTTCGGTAAATTGATGACGTAGTTACGAGGGGGGGGGGGGTCCTCTCTGCTTGCTCGCGAGCTTACCTGTCTTATGGAATAGCTCGTAACGGCCGATCGGAACGGCCATATCGTTCTACCAATGAAAATACGTAGGAACACGTACGTAACGAGTCGTGCTAGCGACGTGCTGCTACAGCTGTCGAACATCCGCCGGTGTACGTGTAACTACCCTCCAAACGACGCGCAGCACATGACTGCGTGTGTATGCGTCAATGTACGCGCACATAGGACGGTCGCGCGGGAAGATAAGTACCGAAGGGATGAAAGCAGCGAAGATGAGCTCGAGTTTGGTCCGTGATGGGCGTCTCGTTAATTTTTCGCCCCGTGTTGTTGCATTGTTTGCTTGAGGGAAGGGTGTTTATTGCTAGCGGCTCGAGACAAGAACTATCGTGTTGCCTATATATACGTTATTACTCGAATGTACAAGGGAGCGAGCACGACTCTGTGCCACTGGTTGCTACGCCACCAGTTTTAATGATCTCGATTTCGAACAAGCGCACGTAAGCCGCGTGCGAATCTCACAATGAGAAAAGAGGGTACAGAGCGACTTCGGAAATGAAACCGGATTAATTAAAGGATTGAAAAGATAGTACAGATTCATGTTATACAGACGTGTACATTTTATATTAACGTGTATATTTCTGTGCGTGATCTAAGATTTTAATAGGAAGAAGCCCATCATCGATAAATATGTAAGATAGCATTATGGATAAGATAATATGAGACATTGATGAGGTGATTAAATTAATTTCTTGCAAAAAATTGTAAAAACTAACAACATTTCTCACGAATAAATGAATAAAGAATTACGTTTCTTACGTTATAAATATAATTTCTTGAAAAATGTAATACAATTTCTTTATATTCTCTATTTACAAATGACTTTTTTGTTTTCTTCCTTTTGACGATATTTAAAGATGATTCTATTAGAGATGATATCGCGCTACATTCAATCGATATCGAAATTGGTAGCGAGTAATGAAACCTTCTTTCCCAGTAGGTCGGATGTTGAAACAGGTCGGGCTCTATATTTCTGTATTTTCGCTCTCGTCCCAAACACGGACGGGAGAGAGTCGTACGGTAGCGGATCAACGAGCAATCATACTTGAATAGGCGCCACGCACACGAGAGGCCAGAATGCGTATCCGCGTGTACAACCGCGTGGACGTACGTTGATTCGAAATCATTGTGCCGTACCTCGTCGACAATCGAACCTCGACGAACGTCGAATTTCGTATGCCACCGCACGAATTTCCCCTCAAAACGGGGATGATTCGCGTGGGTGAATCGGACAGAAGGTCGATCCGTTCCTTCTCGCGGAACAAAAAATATCCATTCCACGTCGACCCGATAAACAAGACCACTGTCCCATCGGCGCGACAATCAACGGAGAGAGAGAGAGAGAGAGAGAGAGAGAGAGAGAGAGAGAGAGAGAGAGACACGTTCTAAGGCTTTCACGCGAATCGGCAAATTTCATTTTTCGAATTTCATGCACTCGCGGCGACAAATTTTTCTATATACTTATATCAAAACGGGCGCGGTCGCGGTAATGTTATATCGTTGAAATATAAAAACCTTCGTGACACGATCACAGACAATATATCTATGAATAATTTTCTATAAAGAGGAGCGCACGCGATAAAGCGCCAAGAATATTAAATACGTCTCTGATCTAGAAATATATTTCTGGGTAACTGTTCCATTTGTATAATATGGATATACAGAAAGAAAATTAGATTAAACAAGATTACTAGTGTTTATATATATTTATATATATATACAATATATATATATATATGTACAATATATATGTATATGTTGGCAGCATCAAGATCGACATACAAATGATTCTAGATTTATGTAAGCTGCATCTGAATCACACTTTTACGTAATATTTTTTTTAGAATAAAAGTTGCATCTCGGAAAAATAGAGACACACTTATAACTGTTTATACGTATGTCAATTCCTACATGATTCATCCGCAACATATTTTTCATATTGTTTTTTCACGATAATATTTATTGAATATTCTTAAAAGCTAGTGCAACGCATTCAAAAATACCACAGATATACATATTTCATTTAGAAACACTACTACACTCGTAATACAAACAGCGCGTTACACGAATCCATCAAACGCGCCATCGCCATAATTCAACCGTATATATTTCGACCATATCTGTGTGAGTTATTTCGTGTTCCGTGTGGCTCGTAATAAAAAAATACAAAAGGGCGCAAAACCAAAAGCAAACGGATAAATTATAACTGTTATAAAACTGGTCATTTTGTATATATTTTAAAGCGCGGCGAGCATAAATACGTTTGTTCTTCGTATTCTGGATATTGTTGGGCAAACAATAAAACTACGCTTTATATTATACGTTATTAATTTAAATACTGTTGTCGAATAATTCTTTAAATATAGTCACGTTATTTTTTTATGTTATTGTAAAATTTGTTAAACGATTTTTCCCAGTGAACAGTGAAATGTTCTCATTAAGGTACAGCAACGAAAAATTATTAAGTACTATTCATTTTCATTTTTCGATAAATTTCCATGATTCACGCGGAAATTGACAAAACTTTTTGAAAACATTAATTTGTTCTGTACAGTAAATTCAATTCTAGATTGCATTCATCGAAATAAGCAGTGTGCGGAATTAAATAAATACAAAAGATTACAGGATTCGATAAATAATGAATTAAATATACATTTGTCTATCTATTTTCCGCTACATTTTATAATTACAACGGTGAAATGTGATCACAAACACAAGATACGAGTACGATTGAGTGACGATGACCAAATATTTTAGCTGAAAAAGTCTATAAATATATAAGAAGCGACAAAAAACTGCAATACATTCGTAACTTTTACATTCGTAATATAATTTATTTCAACGAATATCTCAATTTGAATCGTATGTATCGTAAGGAATAATGCTTGCATGCTCATGCAGAGCTTTCCTCGATGTAAAAACGTGAATGTTTACAAACGTTTTTCTTTCTGTGGTAAATTTCCAACTTATCATCGCATCGGTGTAGATTCGGATAAGAAAGACTCACCATTATTAATCGCAGCTAAAGCGACGGCGCCAAGCAACCATGCGACGACGCTGACGGCGGACATCTTCGTTTCCCTCGTCGCGGTTTCCTCCTCACATAATACGCGCCTTCCGTGCGTTAGAACAGTGCTGAAACAAGGAAGACGCATTACGTTAAACCGCGCGTGTGCGCGATGTCACAAGATATTACAAGTTCGGTCGCGCGTTTATCTTACAAAGGCGACGCTTTCGTAAACGCCCGGCTAAGTGCTGCACGCCGGCGCTGCTGTTGCAGCGGAGCACCGGTGAGGAAAGCCGAGGAAACGATTGTGTTAGCGTCGCAATTTGTTACGCGTAATCTCGTACGGTCCCCGTTATCATGCATCCTATTACTGACAACAGCGGATGCCGCGCGCAACGATAATTACTCGATCAACTGCGCGTCTACAAAAATATTGTCGCAATAAATAATCTCGCAGCAAACTGCTTTTCAACCTCCGCTTTTCATTTTCCTTCAGTACACCGTACAACAGTTCAAAATCAAGATCTTCATTCCTTGAATTGCACAGGTCTTTATCGCTCGTTTTATTTCATATTTAGGATATACAATGTTTTTCCCTAAACATATCGAAGAATAAAAACAGGATATCCATTTACGTGGGGATTCCATTTATCATGGAATTTTTTTCGGAGGGTTTCTATCGCAAGTCAAGAATGTACCAAGCGTAATCAACTGTAATAAGAACCAAAAAAGGGTAGAATTTTACTGCTATACTGAAAAGAACGTCACTGCGCCAATTTTGTTGTTGTGATATTTACAACAATTTTGAACGTTAATGAACTCCATTTGGATATTTTTACAGCTTTTAATGTCTCCTCGTACCTCTGATTTTGAAGAGGAGAAATATTACGCGTTTTGTACATCATGTTTTACTTATTTCTTTAAAGACATTTTTTTTAAAGAAGGACAATGCAAGCAAAATATATAATTCATTAATATTGTTATTGTATGCTCGAACCAACAGAAGTGTTAAAAATTATTTATATGGTCTTATAACGAGAAGAAAAAAATATTTTATGTAGTAGCAAAAACTCAAAGTCAAAAATGAAGTTGTATGTTTTTTATAATTAAAAGTGAAATTTATCGCTTGGCCAATTCAAAATCAAATATTCCTATTAGTAAAACAGTAAAAAATTGTTAAGCACATCGATATGAGTGGATGTGTGCAATCAGAATGTGCCCTGTGACGGGATCCTGTCAAAATAAAAGAATTAATAAAAAATTTCAGGAGGAGGGGAGGTTTGAAGTCCAACCCAACCCCCTTCCTCTTGGATGGACGCCCATATTAATTTATTATTTGCTGCACCGCACTGGCTAGAATTATTGACTTTTATACGTCGGCATGTAAATCTTCTTCGCAAGAATATCTTATTTCGGGAGAAAAATAATTAAAAAATAATATGAGTTTACAATTAAAAATTCAAGAATTTTTACTCGCAAAACCATCGCAGGTTGAAAAATTGCAGCAACATTTCTAATTATTTATACCGATAACAACACTATCATTCTAATATAATTCTAATGATGATTTATGTGCTATTCATAACAAGTTATATTCACAGAGAATCAAATACAGTTCTGTAATAGAGTTATAATTCACAGTGTATTGCACAGTTGTACTAATAAGTCAAACAGAATTCCCATATACTCGTATTTTCATGGAAAATTTTTGGATAGAGTCAATGTTCTTCGAATGAAATTCGAACTGCTTTCTTATTATAATTTTCTCTAAAATACGCATTAAATTGCAATAGTACTTTAGATTTATTTAGTTTTTCTCTCGTTCCTTCAAACGTAGGTTTATTGTTAATAACATTGTTTTTATTGAAAATTTTGCTGAAGAAAAATTTACATAATTGTTTATATAAATTCAGAATAAAGTATTATTTTTACGAAGATTTACGAAGAAAAAATTTACTCTAAATCGCTTTAATAATTTATATAAAGGAAAAGTATAGGAAATCTTTAAAAACGTCCTATATAGTCACATAGAATCTACTGGAAATTTTATTCGTGAATTTCCTGGAACATCCGGATGATTTTCTCGAGCGCGTCCGCGCTCTCTGCTCCGCGAGATGGTCCCGGGAAGCTGCTCATTCGTCACGTCGAGATAGCGTCGTCCTCGGACGGATCCGCGGAAGGCGCGACGTCCTCCTATCCTTATAACTGGTATAACCGTTAGCGAAATAGCTCGCCGTGCCTCCCTCGAGTCGCTTTCAACCATGACATACTCCATTTATACAAATCACGCGCTGTATCTTCATGTCAAAACGTAATCGCCCCGCTTTCTTCCTCCTGTTTATTTTCGTAAATATTTCATGTAATCTACTGAAAATGCTGCAAGTGAAGCTCGAGCTAGCTTCATCAGGAGAGCTTGTTATTTGCAGTACAACTATAATAAATTAAAGTATCAGAAAATTTGCAAATGTATCATTTAATTAATTCGAAGTAAATTGATCTTAAACAGAAACGAAATTTTCGATATTTTCTTATTTTGTAAAAAAAATAATACTTATAAAGAGTATCCCGATAAAGTTTTTTTATCTTACGAAACAATAACTATGATTACATTAAATATCAAGAAATTTCCATTCAACATTCGATCGTCAAACTGTTTGCGAGTAATTTCCGTTCTCTGTGAAGCATTCATCTGACATATCTACATTCCATGTAACCCTTTCCATTATGAGTACTATTTTTGTTCTTTAGTAACTAATTTACTGCGTATTATTATATTATCTGAAGATGGTCCAATCCAAGAATCAAAATATGTAATAATTTATGTATTTATTCGAATTTTAATAATGTATATATTATATTGTATATTTCGTATCTTAAAATAATTTTCTTTACACTCAAAATTGTTTAATCAACTCTTACATATAATCACTGTATTGTTTTTTTTTTTTAATTAAGAGTCCCAATATAGTTTCATATAATTTTTATTTTGTCTTTTTATTTTTAATTCGTATAACTGAACATTTCAGATGTACATAGATTGTAAAGATTAAATTAAATGTTTCAAACTTATACCACTTGTAATTTTTAGAACAAGCAAAATAATGAAAACAATGCGACGAAATTTTCATGTTAAAAATGGCTATCTGTATCTTTTATCTACCGCTTGAAACGGACGTACAATCCTGAGCGCCAAATAAATGATCCTCCTTTCTTTCTTACTTTTTTTCCTTTCTTTTTATGCTCAAGGAGAAAGCGAAATAGGTAACTCTTGCTCTATCCGTACCGACCGCTCGCTGCTCTCGCAGCATCCACATGGACTAGGCAACCCTTCAGACGCACGTTTCCCACTGGTTCTCGGCTCCTTTCATCCCAGTCCGCTTTTACTTTATGCACTGGTTGTGCGCACACGGACTTTACATCGTCATACACTGTGTGCTTCGAAAACCTGAAATTCCGCTTTGCTACGGTTTCGTAAGACGCCACAAGCCATACGTTTCGCACAGAATTTCGACGTGCCTCCGCGCCGCGTGTATAACTATATATATATATATATATAT